ACACACAACCATGGACAACTACAGACAACTACACACAGACACAACCACACACACACACACACACACACAACCCCACACACACACACACACAACCCCACACACACCCACACACACACACACACACACACACACACACACACACACGTGATTACAGCAGGAACACATGTTATAACTACAGTCACGTCGCTGATCAATCACACGTCTGTTCTGATCGGTTCGAACCTCCAGATGTTTGCGTTTGTCTCAAGTGTTGATGTCACATCTGTTCACGGGTCAAACATTTTACTGATCAATAATCAAAGAATGGATCCGCGAGGACAGGTGAGAGGAGAGGTCACCTGTCAGAGACTCACCTGAAGCGTCAGGTCACAGTTCAATAATCAATAATGAAGGAAGCGGAGCTGCGGAAACACTGTTAGCCGTTAGCCGTTAGCTTCCTCGGACCGCCCAGTTGACTGATCACCTCTCTGTTAGCATTAGCATTAGCTAGAAGGCTAGCCGTTAGCGCGCACCAGAAACGAGCGCATCCCGGCTCCTCTGCGCGAATTCCGCCGCACTTTGACGGTCAGGTTGACGCAGGAGCCGGAGGGAGACGCGCGGAGGGAGATTCACCTGCTCAGGTGTCGACAGGAGGAGAAAACACGTCCTTACTGGTTTGATGCGATTCTCTTTTTCCTCTCCAGCTTTCCAACTTCTACCGACGCGTTCACAGCAGCAGCGAACTTCTCTGACGGATCACACCTGCGTCACAGCTCCGCCATGATGAGAGAGTCCGAGCGAACATTCCCGAGCAGCGGAGACAGAAAACGACTCTTTCCTCTGGAAACTGGAGCAAATTAAAGTTGAAGCGGTCGCTCCGTCATGGAGGCCATGTTTGGGAGCGACCGAAGCACCGCCTGTCAGCGCCAGCAGGAGAAGTAGGTCCGTGGAAACGCTCACTGCCGCCCGGAGCTCAGCCGTTTACCGGGCAGAGTTCATCTGTTGCAGCCGGTAAACACGACGATCCTCCGGGTGACGGTCTGACGCGAGTCGCTTTATCCGAATCCGCGTCTCACTCCGTTTATGTGGTAGTGTAAAAAGTGTGTGACCCCGCGGAGGGATCTGGTTCAGCGCTGCTCTGGTGAGGCGGCCTCTGTCATCAGACCTGAAATCCCGGAATGGCCGCGCGAGGATCCGGACTGCTGCTGGAGGTGGAGTCCCTCAGTGACCACATCGAGTTTATTTATATAAATTATATATAATTATAATGAAAATACAAATCATCATTCATCATTATACCTTTATCTTTATTAACTAATACACAGTCATTAAATATATTAATATCTTTATTAACTAATACACAGTCAATCAATATATTAATATCTTTATTAACTAATACAGTCATTAAATATATTAATATCTTTATTAACTAATACACAGTCATTAAATATATTAATATCTTTATTAACTAATACACAGTCATTCAATATATTAATATCTTTATTAACTAATACACAGTCATTAAATATATTAATATCTTTATTAACTAATACACAGTCATTCAATATATTAATATCTTTATTAACTAATACACAGTCATTAGATATATTATTATCCTTATTAAATAATACAGTCTTTAGCATTGTTAGAACTTTCATCACCACACTGGAACATGAAGGTCCATAAAAACGAGCTGAGCCTCCACAGAACCTCCTGGTATCAAAGACCCTGAGGCTCCACTGTAAGAAGCAAGTTATTAAATGACCTGTGGATCGTCCTCAGCAGTCTCCAAATGAGCACAGGAAATATCATTACAATCTCTAGAACCTTATTTACCTCTGGACCCTTTTCACTGACCCCTGGAACATCTAGAACGTGTTACTAGTTACTAGAACCAACTCATGGACCCTCCTTGAGATGATCTTCATAAACAAGTGACAGTAAAGTCAGGAGTGTGAGTGAGGTGTTGTTCAACTACAAACGTCCAGAACAGAAACAAGTATCAGGTATTTTCTTTTTTATTCTATTATCTTGTTGAGTCACAGGTTCAGTTTCAGTAAACAGGTTCGATCAGTTCAACAGAGAAGAAAATCAATACAACTCCTCCTGCTTCTCTACAAACCCTTCTGAACTCCACTGATGAAAGACAGGAGAAACTCAGGTGAACTCCACTCCTCCATCTGTCACGTAGAAGGAGCTGCTCCTTGGAGCCTTGGTCCCACAGGAGGTGCAGTGGACAGTGAAGACCTGTCGCCTCCTCTGCTCCTCGCTGCTTCCTGCTGTGGTGGCCACGTTATTTGGAGCCTCCTGTCGTGTGCACAGCAGCCGGTGGGTCACCAGTCGTTGCCAGGGGCGACAGAGGTATGGTCTGTCTGAGTCCGAGGAGGGTCGACTGTGGCTCCTCCTGGTGGCGTGGCAGGTGGCAAAGACAGTGATTCTGTAATCCCTGAGAGGAAGAACCACAGTGGGAACTGACTAAAAGCTGCAAAGTATTTACAGGTTCTTTAAAAAAAGAATAGATATCAATTTCTTCCAACACCTAAAATTTTGAATTTAGAAAAACTAAATTTACTCACAGTTCTTTCAACCCTCTTTAAGTCCTGAGACCCTCAAAGTTTAGACCTCTATAACCCCTCATTGTCAACTAGAACCCTCACAATAACCACAGGAACGTAAAGGATCGTAAAGGAACTCTAGAACTTCTTATTAGACATTAGAAGCCTTTCTGTGGCAACACAACCCACACAATTACATGAGAGATGACCAGAACACCTTAGAACGTCCTCTGCAGTCACTGAGAAAATTAGAGAGGTGCTTCCACCTGCTGGACAGCTTGGACAGTAAAATCCTCTGATAGGACAAATAACCTCCTTAATTACCTTTAACACGTCTTCGGTTACCTGTAGAACCTAACCACTAGAACCTCTTACTGCACAGCCAGAACCTCCTGAAGGATCCAATTGAACCCCTGAAGGATCAGTGTCTTCTTACTGGACAACCAGAAGAACCTCCTTAATTACCACTCCATCCAACCAAAGAGCCACTAAAACCCCCTCAGGGAAGAACCTCCTTATGAACCATTACAACTTCCAAAATAATCACTGACTCCACCTATTGCACCAGCAGAACCCTCTAACAGACCAGGGACCGTTAATTGATGGATATCCACCTGAGCAGTCGGCCCAGCAGCTCTGAACATTTGCTGAGCTTCTCCTCCTGCTTGGCAAAGCTGGCCCCTCCCTCACAGCGATCCAGCCAATAGAAAGCAGAGATGCTGTCAAAAAGGAGGAGTGCCAGACCAGGCCGAGATGAGAAGGAGTTCTCCAGGAAGTGCAGGGTGAGGAGGAGCTGGGAGGAGGAGGAGCAGTGGACTACCAGGAGGCGAGACAGACACGAACGCAGCGCCTCCTCATCTGACTCGGCTGAGGGCGAGCTGGTAGAGAGGGCTGGACACACATGGAGAGAGAGAGACAATGAAGCTTAGAGCTTGAATGGGTGTGTGTGTGTGTGTGTGTGTGTGTGTACCTGTGTTCAGTCTGTTGTCCATGATGCTGACCAGTCGTAACATGTCCAGACTGTAGTCAGTGTCCACAAACACAACGTCAACCTCCAGTCCGCCAGCAGCCTTCGGCAACACACAGCGACACAGCAGGTGGTACAGCAGCTCCGTCTTACCTGGGACACACACACACAGTAAAACACACACACACAGGAAAACACACACACACAGGAAAACACACACCCTCCACAGGAAGTGCAGTCACAGCTGTTACCGGTGCAGTAAACTCACCTGTTCCCTCTGTTCCATACAGCTCCACCACCTCACCTGAAAACAGGAAGATATTACATCATCAAAATAAAAGCAGCTGAGTTGACGTGACGATGTCATCCTCAGGATGTGATGTCACTTATCAACGTGTGTCTCATGGGTGTGTTCAGGTTTAGTTACGACTCTGAAGGGGAGGAACATATACGATGTCAACAGCCTTAGTAAAGTTGATCACAGAATGATCTCATGAGGATCACGTGACATGTGGTTTCAGGTTCTATGACTCACCGTGGTCGGGTCCGCCATCTTCAGGAAACAGACGAGGTTCGATTTCTTTCAGACTGCGACGAGCCTCCAGACGTGCAAACAGCTGCAGAGACACACATTCAATTCAATTCAATTCAATTTTATTTATATAGCGCCAATTCATAATTTACATTATCTCAAGGCACTTTACATTTAAAGGTCAAGACCTTAAAACAATAGTAACATAGAGAAACCCAACAGTTCCCACAATGAGCAAGCACAGGCGACTGTGGAGGAAAAACTCCCTCATTAACAGGGAGACACCTCTGGCAGAACCAGGCTCAATGTGGGCGGTCATCTGCCTCGACCGGTTGGGGTGAGGAAAGAAAAGTAAGGGGGGAGGAAAGGAGAGATGGGTGGARAGCGGGGGAGAGAAGAGAGAGATGAGGTGGAGAGAGAGAGACCGGTAACAATTTGGCACCATCAGTATCAAGGCTAACCATAACAATAACAATGTATAGATCTACAACAGGATTATATATATTAATGAATTGCTGAGTTCTTGTAATAAATGCAGACAATGGTGATGGTGGTCGTTGTGGTCCTGTAGTCCCGGTGACACATCACTCTGATGTTGATGCACCAGGACATAGACTGGGCCACCTCTTACTGTTACTACTAGTACTCTGTTACTACTCATACTCTATTACTCTCACTACTTGTACTCTCTGTTACTACTCATACTCTTACTCTGTTACTCTCACTACTTGTACTCTGATACTCTCACTACTTGTACTCT